TCTTAGTTCTCAGCAATATATACATCCTACTGACTGCATCCTAAAAGAAAAGCGTGCGATTCCCCAGAAGAGAAACTCCACAGCAACAAGAAGAAACTCAACAGCACTGGTTCGATGCCATTCTAAACACCCTTCGTATGGAAAAACAAGAGTATGCAGAGTTCAGGCACGGCTACAGCAAACACTGCTAACCAGGCGGCTTTGATCTGGAGAGGAAGGGTGGAATCCCCCGATGTGACAGATGTTTTACGGTAATTTATATGTGTAAGCAATGTCTATTCACCAGGGACAGAAGTGCTGAATCAGGGATGGCCAATCCAATTGGTCTGCAGCTGCCAAAACATATTTGTATAAAGTTGGGAGTATGCGATCAAAAACTATCATAGCCATAAGTGTACTCTGGTATTAAAACAAAGCCTTAATACTCCATTCTTAACCTGTTGACTTTAAGTAGTAGAACACTCTAACCGGTAAGTTTCACAGTTCAAAATGATCTGTGAAATTCAACTGACATTAAGAATTATTTTCAAAATATCAAATACAGGTTCTCAACAGCCTTTGACTGCACCAGGAATTATACACCAGAGCTCTGAGAATAAGGCACTGACCACACAAGCAGGGCTGAAACCTGACTCAAACTGGACAGAGTCCCACTTTTATGGCAACCTTTAAAAAAAAAAATAAATTTTTTTTAAAGTATATTTGAGCAAAAGAGTCTCTGTCTGCCACGATCCAATTTCATTGCTCACTATTTTCCTGCAGCAAACTAGTGTGGCAAAACTGCCACTTCAGTGGCAAACTAGTACAGGTTTCTTCTAAGATAATGTCTTTACCTGGTGCAGGAGATTAAAAAAAAAAAAATCCCAAGAGAATAAGAGAGACTGAGCAGGTGACTCAAGAAGGAATGAAATTTCCATGATATTGAATAAAAATGCATCTCTTGTTTACAGATAGTTTCTGCTATTAATTTGGTACATTACTCTCCCCTTGTGCTTACTTTTAAAGAAAGCCACTGTAGCACTGTTCACAACCCTGCTTGGAAAAACCAAAACAAGACAGCTTTAGAATTGCTGCACAAGGTCATATTTGATCATCGCCTCTCAGTGAGGACAGACATCCAGCTATTCATCCCGCAAAAGCAGCCTGCAGAGGGTGCTGGGCTGAGCAAATACATGATCCTTCAGCTCAGCTGCCAAACAAGAGCATTCAAAAAGCCAGTCTACATAAACCATCCTTTTGTTCCCCTTCTCCAAAATCAAAGATCAGTTAAAACTCTGTTTGGGGCATTTGCCTTAAAAACCACAAAAAACCCAAGCCCTGTGTAGCTGGGGGAGAAAGAGATAGTGGAGGTAGTAGTAAGTGGGAGTCTTTTGTTCCCCGGCAGAGTCAACAGGCTGACAGTGAAGGCACTCACACGTGTAGAAGACTTTAAATTCCTTTTTATGTGTGAGGGGTGGTGACCCCACATCTCTCACCACAACACAGGGTATTCTTTCCCCTATATCTCTCCACCAAACCTATTCCCAGTCATTAATAAATAGTCAAATAAAAACTCCGTGCAGGAAATCCCAGTAAGACACAGCTAAAGTAAATTATCGCCCTAATACAGCACTTGTTTTCTAAGTCGCTTCAGGACACCAACATCTAAAAGTACATATAACCGAATGACTTGATGTTCCGATGCAACCGAATCCCGCAAGCTCACCAAAACAGGCCAGTCTTACAGTATCCCAAGTACTTCCAGAAAATATCACAGACTTGCAGAAGCACGCGCTTACAGAGCCGATGATAGGAACTTGTTATCAAAACTGGCCTTGTACAAATTAGACTACAAGGCACTACTGAAAAGCTGCAGGTTCACTGACACGTCATGCTGGCACCCATGAAAACTCATCAAGACCTGGGATCTAACCACACTACGGGATAGGATCTGACGGACCACTTCCTAGTGCTGGAGATTAAATTCCATTTACAGTTTCTAGTGGCCTTTTTAATTTTCTGCCCTAAGACACTGGTCAACTGGATGTTTCTGCATTAACCACACGCACACAAAGTCTATTTCAGCACGACCGTGCAGATACATGAACAAACTTACATCAATTTTAAATACTGCTTTGAGACTTTCACGTATATGACCAAGGAGGGCAAACAGAAATCTCGCCAGGAAAGCCAAATTAAAACCTCACTTTTGTAGACCTCGCCTCTGCAGTGTTAAGGGATACGATGCTGAGGATGCTGACCATTTGACAGAGAGTGGGGACAAAAAAAAGACTGTCAGCGTATTATTAAGTTCCAGTGAGTACCCAATCTTCGTTATTACAGCCTCTTTCAGAAGTCAGCAATTCAAGAGGGCTTGATACAATACTTTGAGAGATAAATTATTCCAATGGATTAGAATTGGCTTAACAGTAATATCCTCTATTAAAAAGAAAAGAAAGCTTTCCCAACATGGATGAGACAACTAACGCATTAGGATTGTAATGGAAAGCGTACTTCCAAGATTGGCAGACCCAAACTTGGATCTACTTACACACGCTGTGAACAGATAAGAAAATAGTTTATTTATGGATGGTTTCTCCCACACCCTGAAATGCATTTTGGGGGGGGGGGGACCAACAAAAAAACCATCAACAATCCAGTACTTATGAACAACCCTACAATCAACTACTGTGTGCCATGTGACAGACAAGAAAAAAAACCCACAAACACTAAGAAAACACATTTCAGTTTTAAGCTTCCATAGTAGTAATGAAAAGCAAAGTGGGTAGATTTTTAGAAAGGCCTTAAATATTCTTCTGTAACCTAATAGTGAACACAAATATTTGCTTAACCTCCGCCTTCAACATCCAAAAAAGAACTAATTACTCTAAAAGCTACCAAATGCCCCAAGAAGAATTTGAAGCATGAACCACCACCACCAAAAAGCATTTGAGGAAGAGGCAGATCTCCCACAATCAGAAAGGCTGTCTCATTTAGCCATCCTAAAAACAACTGCACTGGAGACGCTGGTGACTCATTAGTAGTGATGGAGCAGAGAAACCACTTGAAGAGGTGAGAGGAAAATTCCATTTTAATTTAAGAGCGCTCTCTAGCAAACCTTGCCTGAGTTCTGCAACATAACAACAATCGGATATTCACTAAGAAACACATTTTATAAAAACTACTGACAGCCCTCAGCAAGCGCAAGATGTGCCACCTGTGCTAAGAAGAGACTTACCATGGACTAAGAAAAATAAAAATACAATGTTTATACGTTAAGTCCTTTCAAGAAAAAAGGCTTCCTCTTAAAATTACTTTTAAAATTAACATAACATCAATTACTTTAAAAAATAAGTTTGCTTTGCATATTTGTCATAACAGCCAGTGCCATCCAATTCAGTATTCCCTCGATACAGTTCCTCCCTGTTGCAGGGCTTTATAAAAACAAAGAGCAAACCAGTGACCTAGAAACAAATGTAGGCTCTCAAATTACTTTAAACTCATTAACTTTATACTTGTTTTAGAGTCATAACAACGTCTAAAAAGACTGCCAAAGACTTTGATTTAAATTTGCCAGGTTGCACTACGAGAGAAGGTTTGGGTTTATTCCTAGCTGGAACTGTTTCAGGAATAGAAGGCACATTTTTCAGAACCCAAAGAATGGAGGCGGGGGGAGGGTTGTGGGTTTTTTTTTTTTAAAGGGGATATGTTTACATGGCACAGAGCAGAGCCATGCATTCAAACCAGCTCCGGAACCGGAAGCTGTATGACATGTCAGCACAGCTCTCTGCTAATTACCAGGATAATGAGAAGCAGAATATTTCTTCTTCCACAAAGAGATGACAAAAAAGTACTTCTCTGCAACACAACTAGTTATTTCTCGTCATGCTGCCCTGTACTATGCAGGCATACCCAAACAGACTACCTCAAGGTATGCTGAGTTTCAGATTTATGAAACGTGAAATGTCCTTTTAAAGGGTTTGGTGCTAGATTCCCTAGCAAAGAAGTTGACTGATCTGTGCACAGCACTCTAGGAGAGAAAAAAAAAGAAAGAAGGAAGGTAAATATGCACCATGAAAACTTTTAAAAATAACTCCCCGAGGCCATAAGTAACCATTTCAAAGGGGCGGTGAGAACAAGATCCATCTATAAAACTTCAATTTGAACATTAGCGAAGAGCCCGCCCCCACCATGAGCAATTACCGCTGCCTTTCATGTGGCAGAGTAACACACCTTTTCTTGGTACGGTTGGTTGTGTCAGGTCTATTTTAAACACACTCAACAGCATTACAAAGCAAAACATCACAGCCACCCTTCCCATTCAGCTGAAAATGCAGATTGCCAAACACAGGCCAAAAACTTTAAGGCTTTCTTTGTAAGTAACCCAACCCTTAAAGCTGCTGAGCATCCCTGACGCTTGGGGAAGGGGCTCCTATCTCCCAGAGAAGCACACAGAGAGGAACGCGCCATGCCTACACCTTCTGTTTGCCATGGCTGTGGTTCTGGCGACGTGAGCACCAGTCCGCACCGTTTCAAGAGCATCTACTGGATTTGCAGCGTTAACTCTACCGCGAGCTGTAACTCTGTTCCAGCTTCTGAAGAGCTTAAATCTGCTTCTGTCTTTTGCGTGCTATTATTAACCTCAGGGATAAACCTGCACCCTTTTAATCAGGTGCTTTAACTGATACGTTCTGGAAGCAGGTACAGCAAATAGATATCCTCTACCTTCTTTAGCAGTAACATGGAAAGTATCACCCGCAATATTCACCAATTCAAACCCCTAAGAAATCCGTGAGGGGACCGCTAAGACGGACCCTTCTCCAACGCTGCAAGCATTAGTCAATCCTTTTAAATAAAAGCGTTAGACGGGGAGGGAAACCTCACGCTTTGTCAGAGATGCCCCGAGTCCACCAGTTTTCGGAGCCACTCTGTCCCAGCCGGTCCCTTGACACCCTGAGCCCGGCCACGCCGTGAGGAGAAGCCCCGGAGCAGAGCCCGGCGCGGCCCTCCACGCCGCTCACCTTGTAGACATCGCCGTAGGTGCCGCTCCCCACCCGCTGGATCAGCTCGTAGTCCTGCTGCGGGTTCCGCCTCAGGATATCGCCGCTCGGCCGCGCCGCCGGCTCCATCTCCAGCCCCGCGCAGCCCTCGCCGGGGGAAGGGGAGCAGCGGCCGCTTTCCTCCTCGCCCCTCCGGCCGGGGATGCTCTTAGCGCGGCAGCCGGCCC